CTCTCTCTCCCCCCCCCTTTAGCTCCCTTCTCTTCCCCCCCCTCTCTCTCTCTCTCCCTCTCTCTCCCCCCCCCCCTTTCATTCTTTTTGTTTTGTGTTGAGTTTGCAATAACATGTTTGGAGCTTCGCAAAAAAAAAGAAGTGTACATCCTGTCAGTGCTCACACATAACACACACACACACACACACACACACACACACACACATGCACACACACACGCACACACAAAGGTCTGTTCGGCGTGTTAAAAAAAGAAGAAAAAAATGTCTGCTCTGCTACTGAGCATTCTACATGTATGTGGATCTCTGGACCAAATGCATCCGGACCAATTGAACATTTTGGATGCATCTCGACCATTACCAGATCCAGTTAGATTTTCTGTTTTTTTTTCTTTTTCTCCATTCGTTCCTCTCCACTCTGTCGCGGATTCCACTACACCCCCTGCCCCTTCCATTCGGGTCCTTTCCTTTTCCCCACTACAGTCACACTCGCCCCAATTCTTCGTCTCACTCTCCAAAAACTCGAATCCCCCTCCTAAGTCTGTCCACATTCACTCAGCTACATGCAGGCCCTCACATCACAAATCTAAGCTCTTCACTACGAAACCCATCTCTCATCTCTCCCCTTTTTAGCCCGAACCATTCTCTCAGCTTCCCGCCCTAACACAATCATCCGAACCTCCCATTTACCGCCCACATACACTCTTCACTATGACGTTCCAACCCGACTTGCCCAGTCTTCACTATACCGATTCCAACCTGACTATGCCAATGCCCGATACTATTGTCTATTCTTTATTAATTGTAAATTATTAATTATTGCAATAACCCATGTTGTATGCCTCGTGGAAAACTGAGGGCCTTGCCAGGCCACACCCAGGCCCAGGCCAAAAAGGGGAAAAGACCCCAGCTAGAGATTTAGGGCCTGAGCGAGGTACAGTTGACTAAAGTCAACTGTCGGAGACCCCAACAGTCAATGTCAAAGTGTACCCAGCCCAGGCCGCTGGTCAGACGCACACATTTGTTTGTATGCAGGTACCCAGACAGTATCAGGTCCAAGGGGAACTCGGCAACTGTATACAATCCAGGCCCTCGGCTGTGAGTGGATCTGAACGATTGAGAGTAGGGGACCCGAGGCCAGACAGCCTCGTCAAGCACTACAAATGGACTGGTCTCGAGGTGGTCAACATTCAATCTTGCTATGTTGCTTGGACGCTGGCTCGACTTTGTCTAGACATTGACACTAACATTGGCATGACGCTGGTGAGGCGCTAGCTTGACGCTGGCTGTGCGTAGGCACTGTGGACAACGACGCGGGTTCTGACAGCATGCTAGCGCTTTTTGTGTTGTGCGCCAGGCATTGCTGATGTGGTGTTGTCGGCCCGAATACCCTTACAAGTGTATTTGGCCACATTTTTGCATCTCGCAGAAGGTGCGTTTTGACGATATTCGAGAGAGTGTCTCATTTCTGTGTGACCATAACCCACTCTCAGAAGTTGGAACTGGCACGCACATTTGATCTGATTAGAGAGTGTGTGGGAGTGCACTTTGAGGGCATGCACGGGTATTTAGGCGGGCATCTGGTTATGAGAGCGGCACCTGCGCCTAGTAGCGTGAACTAGAAAAAAGTTGTGAGACGGCTGAGGTAGCACACACGGAACGGATTCGCGTTCAAGACCGGCATTTGGGCGGTCTGGGTTTAAGTTATAGTCATCGAATCCGTTTGACTTACTGGCTACGACACTGGGATCAGTGAGGTGTAAAGTGCGGGACTTCCTAGGCCGACCTTGATATTGGTCAACAGTAGAAGCCACGGGCGACAGTATAAAAGTCGGGGTTTTCCGACACTTAGGTGGTAAGAGTGCGGTTTTTCAGGTGGTAAGAGTGCGGTTTTTCGGGGAAGGTAGCCTAGTGAGGAAATTGGAGTTGCTATGTAACGACACACTTGTGTCGCGTGTACGACAACAGCCACGAGTAAAACTGACCCCTACATAGGAGCCGGAGACACGATGAGTGTGCCAAACCACGACCCTAGTACAGTCCGACAGGCCTGGGTCTGAACCAGACGTCTTTATAATCTAGATTGTCTGCTCAACCTAAGCTTGGGCCTAGCCCTGTCGGTTACGACTTTGGACTAAGACTACGAAGATCCGGGGATCGAGGCCAACAACCAGCAGCTGAGCAAAGGAGCGTCTTATGAAGGAAAACTTAGGGGTTGAGGGTCCCACGGGACTATCCCCCTTAGTTTTGCTGGGGAATCTGACAGCGGGCCCGATAGGCAGGACCGAGGACAGGGTTCTGACGGTCCTCTCCCCCTTGCCTCTCTTTCTGTTTTTCCTTATTTTTCATTACTATTATTTTATTTATCCTTTATTCTGATTTGTTTTAGTCCCATTGTGGGGTGCAGTCCGGTACAGGTGTCGGGACCGGTCGTGAAACCCAAGAGCCTAGCTCAGTGGGTACACCCATGAACTGTTGAAAATGTAGACTCGTGCTCGAATCTAGATGATGGAACTTGATGAGTAAAACTAAATATTTCTGAAATTGCCTAGGCCCGGTCAGTTCCACGGTGACATCTCAAGGCCGTCATTTTGGTCGTGGTCCTCCGGAACATCCGTTAAACCTGGAACAATACAGAGAAGTTAGAATGGCCGGTTCCTACTTAAGCCAGCGGACCCGATGATATTGGGTCGCTGCTCACTAACTTGTTGTCAAAGCTGAAGTCGACCTGTTTTGGTGCGCTACCACATAGTGAAGGGTGAAGGTCAGGGTGAAGACGAAGAGGAAAGATGGGGAGTTGAGGATAGCGAGGAAAATAGGGAGTTGACGAACGGGAAAGAAAGGGGAAGGGCGCTTACCTGGCTGACGACACCATCAATGCGAGACTAGGAGCTTACCTGTTGGTCGGTTCGTGGCTCGTTGACCTTGGCGCTGCATCCTCATGGTAGTTGAGCTCTTTTATCACGGAGAGAGAAAGCGAGAGACTCACCTGGAGGAAAGGAGACGAGCGCAATAAGAACTGGCGATGCGGGATGAATCGAAAGGCGGGCTACGGTGCCAAACGACGAGGTGTAATAACGAGGGAACTTCCCGTGTATCTGTCCCGATTCTAGGGGCAGATTCATTCTCACTTTGCATGTGGTAAGTAGTGGAGTGGGCTGTGACGTAGTACTGTTAGCTTTAAGATCGCGTTGTCCACCTGGTTCGTCGTTTTCACCTCATAGGTCGTCCTTGCGATCCCGTGCGGAGATGATTCTCCCGATCGTCAACTTAAGTCCAGAAGTTGCTCATCATCACGATCCTGGCTTTCTTCTTTGTGGTAGTCGTGGCAATCGGTGAAAGCGACTGGTCAGGATCTAGCGAAAGACTCATTCCGATTTTTGTTTGTTCTATCGATGGGGGTAGCGTGAGGGCAGCCGTGGGGTTAGAGACGTACTTATTGGTCGATGCGTTGCTCATCCTATCGAAGGAAGTAGTGTGAGCCTAGCCGCGGGTTGGAGACCTACTTGTTGGCCGCTGCGTTCACACTGTGGTTACCTCCATCGGACAACTCGTCGTCACCTTGTTCACCCCTGGTCACAGCTGCCCGCTCCGTTGGCAACGATCTTTCTGCGCACTGATTGCCGCTGGTTTTCGAGCAAACGTGGTTGCGCGACTGACCCGGTAC